AAAAGAGGCAGTCTGTTGTATTTTTTGGTTTGGACATAGAAGAAGAAAAGTTGACAATGACTACAGTTTTGGGACATACTGAGTTTAAGGTACCTGTGGGAATATCCAAATGGACATGTTGTGAAGATGGATGATGTAGGAGACCAGTTACCAAGAAAAAGTTTTGTGTTAGAGATTAGGAAAACTAGATGGTAACTGGGGAAAATATTATTAAAAGTAAAATATCTCCTTCAGTCATGCCAATATTTATTTAATACAGACATACCTACAGTATGGTGGGAACGGTGCTGACAAAAAAAAAAAAAGTAAGATTCAGTCCCCCAGTCCCAGCCCTCAAGAAGCTCACAGTTATTAGAGGGAAAAGATGGGGTGCAGAGGGTGACTCTACACTGTAATAAGTGCATAACGATAGCATATACAAGGTTTAGAGGTAATACAAAGGAGTGATTATCTACACTGAGGGAAGGAAGAAGGCTTTACAACAAATTCAACCTAGATCTTGAAATAGGGAGGAGGACAGGGAGGGCAGTGAAGGCATTCCAGATAGAAGAAACAATAAATTTAAAGGCAGAAAGCAAAATTTTTTGAAAGAAACAAAAAGTTATGCCATACTTCAGAGCAAAAAAAAAAATATTATTCATGTCAGTCTTCCAAACTAATTCTTAAATATAAATAGAGATAAATCACAAAATATGTGTTAAAAAAAAGACACATGGGAGAAGTTTACTCCACTAAATATTACAGCACATTATGAAAGTAACAATAAAATTAAGCAGGAAGTACAAAAATATATCAAAGAATTACAATGAGATGTCAGGAGCCAGAAATAGTCCTCAATGTATCTTGAAACTTGCATATAATAAGATAGGCTTTCCAAAGCGAAAGGGTAAAATAGAATAATGTTATAACAATTTAATAGTAGTTGTAAAACAAAGTGGTGTCATACCTTATACTGAAAAATTCTGACAGATTAAAGAGTTAAAATATAATCGGATTTCATAAAAATTAGAAAAAACTGATTATCACATCTGTAAACAATGAAATTTCTTAATTTGGAAGAATGAAGCAATGACGAAAGAATGACAGATTCATGCATAATAAACATTTTAAACTTCCGACAATTAAAAACAACCAAAAAGGAAAACATCAGATTAGAGAAAAATATTTACAAGAAAACAGGTGCTAATAATCATATGTTTGGCACTTACTGTAAGATATAAGAAAAACAGCTAGACCCAACAGATACTAAAGGATATGAACAGGCAATCCAGATTTAGAAAAATACAGTGTCCACCATCAGCCTAATGCAATTTAATGAAATTTTTACACCCAGAGCCAATAACGTGGCAAGTGCAACATGTAGGGTCATGCTGTTTGATCCAGTAATTCTACTGACTAATAGATACAAAAATCTAGCTGGTTTAGCCAGATTACTCCCCCTTATGCATAAAATGGTCTTTTAACTTTTGACATTATCTCATGAGTTTAAAAAGCACAAACTGATTAACTTTAATCTAAAGGTACTAATAATTTCTGGAGGGCAATGCTGAGAGTCATGCTCAGGGGGCAAGAAGGTAAAACACACTCCCCAAGCCTTGTCAGGCCTACCGTCCAACAGCCTACCAACTTTCCATCTTGGCTTATTTTAAGTTTAGTAAGTAAGGTACGTAGAAAAGTACTTACAAGTAAATTCAGAGTAATGTTAAAAGCTATATACTCATAATATGGAGGGAAAAAACTGTTGAGGAGACAAACCAACATACCTTATTTATCAATTCTAAGATAAACATTTTTATATTTCTGCAACTGCGATACATCCTAGAATCAATGATGTGTCACAGCTTAATTGGAGTTTTTGTTTTTTGGTTTTTTTTTTTAATTTCATAGTGGGTTGTTGATTGATCATCTCTGCTGAGGGAAGGAAGAAGGCTTTACAAGTTCCAATTATACTGCCTTTTTTTCTTGAAAGTATTTTTCTTTAAATTGCTGTTTTTATTTTTGTTTTGGGGGGGGCTTTTTGGTTATTTTTATTTCATAGGGTTGTTGCTGTTGTTAGCTGCCATCAAGTCAGCTGCAACTCAAGGCAACCTTCTATACAACAGAATGAAATGCTGCCCAGTCCTGTACCATCGTCATGATTGTCAGTACGTTTTGACTCCATTGAGGCTGTTATGTCAATTCACCTCATTGAGGGTTTCCCTCATCTTCGTTAACCCTCTACTTTACCATGGAATAAACAGTACATAGTTGAAAATGTAGTTACTCACTTGATATTAAAGGCTTAGGTTCAGAAAGCTGTGGAAAAAATGTGTTAAGAGCAAGATTTGGGGTCAAAAAAAAAAATCCAAGTTTGACTGAATCCTGGTTCTGCCATATACTAGTTGGGTAACCTTGGGCAACTTAACATTTCTGTCTCTTTCTCCTCATCTGTAAAATAGTGCAAATCTCACAGAGTTGTGACAATGAAATACAATAATAAAATCCAAACCAAACCCGTTGCTGTCAAGTCGATACTGACTCATAGCAATCTTATAGGACAGAGTAGAACTGCCCCATAGGGTTTCAAGGAGCAGCTGGTGGATTCAAACTGCTGACCTTTTGGTAAGCAACCAAACTCTTAACCACTGTGCCACCAGGGCTCCAAATACAATAATATAAGTGCTTAAAACGGTGCCTGGCATATATATAAATAAATGATGGCCATTTTTATTACCATGAGGATGAGGATGTTGAGAATGACACTGATGTTTGCCTTACTCAATGCCTGGCATAAAGTAGTTGTCAAAAAATGTTCAATCTCTTCTTTAATTCCTAACATAAACTACTTCTAAAGGCATATAACAAATATCTGAGATTTGTTGCCTGACCTGGCAAACATGCTTCACAAAACTTCAAATCTGCATATAAAAAGTTGAAGGGAAGGCAGCTGTTTTCTAAAATTCACAATGACTAATAAATGGTTGCTGCTTTGCATATCAACGATATGCATAATCACATTGAATCATGAAGAAGGAAAGAGGATATTACCAAAGTGGCTAGATAATAACTGCAAATAAAAGATACACCTACACTGATAATATTTATTTAGTCTCTACTGTGAGCAATATGGAAACCCTGGTGGCATAGTGGTTAAGAGCTACGGCTGCTAACTAAAACGTCAGCAGTTCAAATCCACCAGGCGCTCCTTGGAAAACCTATGGGGCAGTTCTACTCTGTCCTACGGGGTCGCTATGAGCCGGAATCCACTGGATGGCAACGGGTTTGGTTTGGTTTTTGGTGGGCAATATACTATGCCCACTTTAATATTAATTAATGTAGAAAAAAAATTACCAAAATTTAGACCCACTACCATCCTCTTTACTCTCCCCTGCAAGAGCTATTAAAGTCAACAGGTACACAAACTGACATTCCTAAGTATACTGATTTGTACTGGATTTTTGTTTTGTTTTTTAATTGTTTTATAGGTTAATCTTGTTTCACAAGCTAACTGTAGCCTCATTGTAGAAGAGCAACCATTTCCTTCGTATTATTCCCACCATCGGCACCGCTGCAGCCCTCATCCTAGCACAGAACTTAAACAATGAAGGCCCTGGCATAGGAGTAAAAATTATTGATTATTCAATTTCTGACCTTTAAAAATGGACAATGTAAAAAAAGAAAATTAAGCCACTCTTTATCAAAACATACGATGTTTATACTTCTTAAAGCGTGTAAGGATTTTTTCAGTGAAAACTGAAGAATGAGGGATGAGGGTTAAGACGAGTTTCAAAAGCGAACTGGGTACATGAGAGAAAAACTGCAATAAAAACGGAGCGGATAGACTGATGCTGGGATGAAAAGATAACTTTTTTTTTTAAGTAGAAAAAGAGAGGCAGCTGCAAATCAGTCATTGTTTTCTAAGCCAGGCTGATCTCCTGGGTTTTCTTTTCCGAGCTCAACCAATCCTCATCTTTGCTGAGTTAACCAGTCTCCAAGCCAACATCACTTGTTCATTGGCTTAAAGATGTCGAGTAGAAAAACCAGCCAATCCTGCCTTCGAGTCAGAACTGTGCTATGGAGACATTACAACCACTGCATGGCGAGAATGTGTACAAACCTGTCCGTGCCCCAAACCTCAGATCTTGGTTCTAAAGACTGTTGCTAAAAGGAAGATTCTTTAAAGCCAACACTAAGAGGGATCCGGCACCTACACTTTTTGTATTACTCTAGCTCTGTTTCGGGGCCGGGGAGGGGGGGGCGGGCGGGAGGGGAGGTAAAAACTGTTTTAACCAAGAAAGCATAGAAGATCAACTCTGTCTCCGGTAAAATGACTCACTCTATGGAAGACGGATTTCCAAAGGGACATCTCGGAGAGGGACCCGAGGAGAGCAGAGTTCAAGAAGGGTCCCAGTAAGGATCATAGTTGGAAAGGGGGTGAACGAGGGTGAAAGACGCACAGATATCAAAGGAGGGAAATGTCTCTCGCAGTATTCAAACTCGGACAGTGTGGAGTGAGTGAGTGGCTGTGTGTTTGGATTTGAAGAAGTGAATAAATAAACGGCTTTGCTAGGACTACGTGCTCAGGAGCGTGGTCTGAAGTTCCAAGAAGGTTCCTCCTGGGATACGCCGAAGGCGCTCGGTGGGGCAAAAGGTCAAGTGCGGCGGGAACGAACCTGGGAGCGGCCTCGGGTGCCAAGGGTGTGTCCGGGGACTTGAGCCCCGCTGCGGACCAGGGGGCTAGAGAAGCGGTCGCAGCCGCAACGGCGGCGCCCGCCCTCCTCCGGCCGCGGGCTGCGCGCCAGGGCCCGCCTCTCACCGACGCTTCACTTCCCCTCGGTCCGGGCGGCCAGGCCCGCGGGCGCCAGCCGCTCACGTTCAGGGGTTTGGGGTTCGGTCGCAGCGCCACCCGCCGCTGCCTCAGGCCCTCCGCCTCAGCTTGGCAGCCCGGGACCCCTTCCCTCAGGTGCCCTCGCCGTCACACTGGACCGGCCGCCCTGCTTCCCATCCGCCGCCGCCTTTACCTGCTCCTGGAGCGGGCGAAGGGCGTCGAGGCCGAGGAAGCCTCGTCGGGTGCGCGGCACGGCGCCTTGAGTCCGCCACCCTTTCCCGCCGCCGCCAATGGGCTCTCCGGCGGCGCGCTGGGTTGGCAAGCAGCGGCGGCGGCAAGGGGGGAACGCGCGACGAGCGCGCCGGCGGGGACACACTGCCGCTCTCCGACAGGCCGCGGAAAAGCAGCCTCCCAGGAGCCTGCCGAGGGAGGGCGGGTGGGGGGCCGAGTGGGGAGGGGTCTCGGACGGAATGGCTGCCACGTCGCTCAGGTGGGTCGCCGCCCTCCGCCTCCCCCACACACGCCGGATCCCTGCCGCGACCTCTGGTTCGTCCAGGTGCTCCACCATCGCGCGTCAACCCGCCCCGCGGGGCCGGCCCTGGGCCACCCAGCTCCAGCGCCCCGACTTCGCGGGCGCGCCCGCCTCTCCCGCTCCCTCGAGAGAACGAGACGGCCAGGCCAGTTTTGCGGCATCGGATCCTAGTCCCCAAAGGCTCGCCAAAAACCTGAGTGGCTCTCCCTTCTCTTGCCAGGGGGGTCACATGGAGGAGCAAGCTCCTTTCAGTGTGTCGGGTTTTGGGGAAGGCGGGAGCCGTTTTGGCTGGTGAGCGTGGCAATAAGGGGCTCCACATTCTGCCAGCATAAGCAGGTGGCGAAGTACGGCCGTTTCTGGCTCTTATCACTCTTGCCTAAGCCCGAAAAAGAAGGGGAGGCAAGGAGAAAAAGAAGCTTGTACTCCCTGTTCGAGATAGGGGAGGAAATGAGAGCTAAGGCGGGCTTCAGCATTACTTCATAGGGGCTGTTGGCTTAGAGCTGTGAAGGGCCGCGGCGGTGGCGGGCACGCGAGCCCCGCCCCCTGGCGCGCGGCACTGCTCGAGAGAGGCTCCCGGGAGCGCGGCTCGCTGCCTCTCTGCGCGCTCGGGCGGCGGACACAGCCCGGCCACCTGCGAGCCAGCAGACAAAAGGGGTCGCGGCGCAGACGGAGGCTGCCTGGTTCCAACCGGCGCTGCCGGGACGTTCCGGCTCTGCCAACGTGCAGTCTGAACACGCTGGCGGAAGCACAAAAATGTGTGCGTGTTTGTAGGTATTACCAGAGGCACTGACCTTTGTTCCTTTTTAGAGCTTGAGATTCCAGGTGCCAAAAAAAACAACGGTATTTTCTTCCCTTTTGCAATCAGTGTATTAGCCCGTCCCCCAAGCCTGCTCCATTTTTTCCCCCTAACCTTTGCTTTCCCTGATTTATTCAGTGTTCTGGAGTTAAGTGTTCAATGCTTCCAGGGTACACAAATTTTTCACATTTGCTTTCTGGAGGTGGTGGTGGTGGTGGTTGCTCTGTTCCCTCCCTTTGCAATTACTTCTTATTCCACCTTCAGCGGTTTTCATAGAGAAATGAAATAACCTCATGACAAATAATTCCTCTGCATCGAAGAGACAGATTATCTGTCCATCTTGTTAGGGCAGTTGCTTTAAACGGAATAAAAATTTGGAAAAAGTGCGGGTGGATTTTTATCTTCTCTTAGGTCTAGTAGGAACACCTAGTCACACTGGATGAGAACATTCTAGTGGTTTTTCTAGAAACCAGTAATAGCCGTACATTTAAGCAGAAACCTTGAGTTGGTAAATTTTCTGATAATACCGCCCACACAGAGAAAAATGCAAAGAAAAAATTTTTTTTTCCTCTGTATGATGGTATTTTTCAGAGATCCCTTGAGTCCCAATAGTTCAATACAACTACCTTTGCTTTTATTAAATTTGTAAAAAAACAATGGATACCCAGAATCTCAAGATACAAATAGCTTTTGCAGAAAGCCTAACATTAGCTCTGCCTCTGAACAAACATTAAAAGAGACTAATAACAGTAATGTAGGCCAGTTTAGAAATGAAAGAACTCCAGCAATTATAAACTTCAAACAAGTCTGGCAAATTAATATCAATTTTGTTAATATGGAATGTGTTCACCATAATAATAAAAGGCCTTTAAATTTCTGAGTTTCCTTTAAACATCTGTTAAGGATTCCTCACATCTTAAGTCTGAACAATAAGAAATAAAGTGTTCTTAACGTTGGAAAATATATTTCAGGTCTCCCAGGCTGAATATAAAAAAGTTTGCTTACTGTGTCAATAAAGAAAAACAATGCCATAAGTTCTGAAAGTCAAACTCCAATAAAGAACAGAGCAATCTTTACTCAACATTCACAAAGCCAGCCTTCATTTGAGAATATTTATAAAGATTTCCTCCTTCTTATTGGTTTAAATTCTAAGCCAATAGGAAACGTACAACACATTTTTTAAAGGATAAGACATCAGCATTAGGTTAACTATGTTGGATAAATAGATTGTTTATCCGGTTCATTCTTATTCAAAGATTGTTTATCCGGTTCATTCTTATTCAAGATCCTGTATCTTTTCATTTCAACGAAGAAATTTAAGAATCTCTGGATTATTTACTATCTCAATTTACCTTAAATACAAGGGTGCTACTCCTGCTCACAGTCTGCTCTTTGTAGTTTTCCAGTTGGTTATATTACAAATGGTTATGTTACAATATTTAATTCTCTAAAATGCCAGATGAATCTTAGGAATGGCAAGAATGCCTACTACTTAACACTTTAAATAAGATGAAGTCTGGCCTTTCTTTAGATGAAAGACTGACCTTTAAGGAAATAATAAAGTTTATATTTTAGAAAATGTCGGGGTTTTTTTAATAAAATTTCCAACGCATCATAAATAAACCTTTTATAGTAGTGATCATTGGTCTTTTTAACTGCTAAATTCTAACTATGCTTGTTTAAGTTTATATATACAACATAAGTATGATTTTCTCCCACCCAAAAGTAATCTATGCCACTTTTGAATTCCTATACTTTGATTCTGACTTGGAGCATTCAGCTTGATTATAATTATTTACATATTTATAATCTCCCTTACTAAATCATCAATTCCTTCAGGACAGGTTATGGTTCCTATTCAGCCTTGTATTCCTCACTGCTAAACTCAAAGCCCTGTACAAAATAAACACTCCATGGATATTTGCTGAGTGAGAGAATGAGTGAGCATTACTCTTATGACACAGCCCTATGGCAAATCAAAAGGAAACATTTCTTTAAGGACTTTTTCCTCCTCTCTATTATAGCTGATAAATACTTTGTTTTCATTCTCAATTAATTTTAGAATAGCATTCTTAAAAAACTTTAGTAAAAGAAATTGGAACAACATATGCTGGAACTCCTGTGTTTTTCGATTTTAAATCTGGTGGAAACTGGATAGTGAGTAATAAAGAGTATCAACAGACTTATCACTTAGAAAATTATATACCTGTCTCACACTCAACCACAGCTGCAAGCTCTGTGGCCTTGGGAAAATTACGCTCTCCAAGATTCAGTTTTCTCATCTCTCAAATAGGGGGCAATAATATCTACTTTCCTGATTAAAATAATGAACGTATGTAAAAGTAGAGGCTCAGTACATTTCCAGATAAACAGAAGTTTAGGGAATTTGCAAAAACCAAACCAAAATTACAAAAAATACTAAAGGGAGTTCTCTGGTTAGAAAATCAGTAACATCGGTTAACAACCCAAGACTAGAACACAGGAGGGAGCAACCAGGTATCAACCTAGACAGAGAAGTCACAAAAATAAATCAAAGCTGTAACACTGAAAATAGGGAAACAGATGTCAGTATGTAAAAGATGACAACATTCAAATGAAAAAGAGGGATTTAAAAAATGTAGACATAGATTTTTCATATGGAGAGCAAGTCAAGGCAATGTAAAGAAATAAAAGATTTGTTTAAGCTTAGAAAAATAGGCATAAATATTAAGGTAACCACAAAAGAAACTAACAATCCTGCAAGTCAAAATAAAAAACAAGAAAAATATAAAGGCTCAGCAAATACAAAATCAATTTCAACAATGAAAAAGATGAAAAGAAAATACATAAAGAAAAACGACTCAGCACAGAAAGTTAAGGGGAACAAAGAAACTGAACAACACACAAAAAAAAAACATCAAAATGACAGCACTAAACTCATACCTCTCAATAATTACGCTGACAGTAAATGGACTAAATGCACCAATAAAGAGACAGAGAGTGGCAGAAAGGATAAAAAAACACAATCCATCTATATGCTTTCTACAAGAGACACACCTTAGACTTAAAGACACAAACAAACTAAAACTTGAAGGATGGAAAAAATATATCAAGCAAACAACACTAAAAAAAAAAGGGCTGGAGTGGCAATGTAAACCACTGACAGAATACACTTTAAAGTAAAATCTACCACAAAGGATAAGGAGGATACTATATAATGACTAAAGGGTCAATACACCAGGAAGACATAACTATAATAAATATTTACACAGCCAACGACAGGGCTCCAAAATACATAAAACAAAATCTAACAGCACTGAAAAGAGAGAGAGACAGCTCCACAAAATAGTAGGAGACTTCAACGTACCACTTTTGGTGAAGGACAGAACATCCAGAAAGAAGCTCAACAAAGACACAGAAGAGCTAAATGCTACAATCAACCAACTTGATCTCATAGACATATACCACCCAACAGCAGCCAAGTATACTTTCTTGTCCAATGCACATAGAACACTCTCCAGGATAGACCACATATTAGGCCATAAAGCAAGCCTTAACAAAATCCAAAGCATCAAAATACTACAAAGCATCTCTTCTGACCATAAAGCCATAAAAGTAGAAATCAATAACAGAAAAAGCACAGAAAAAAAACCAAACACGTGGTAACTGAACAACACCTTGCTCAAAAACTACTGGGTTATAGAAGAAATTAAGAATGGAATAAAGAAATTCATAGAATCAAATGAGAACAAAAACATATCCTACCAAAAACTTTGGGACACAGCAAAAGCAGTGCTCAGAGGTCAGTTTATAGCAATAAATGCACACATCCAAAAAGAATAAAGGGCCAAAATCAAAACGTTAACCCTACAACTGGAACAAGTACAAAGAGAGCAACAGAAGAAGCCCTCAGGCGCCAGAAGAAAGGAAATAATAAGAATTAGAGCAGAATTAAATGAAATAGAGAATAGAAAAACAATTGAAAGA